AAAAAAAAAAAAAAAACGCATTAAAAACACAATATGTTACAAAAAATGTTATCAGTAAATTAAAAGCTTTAAAACAGTATGGACCAATGTCTTGAGAACCTCTAAAAGACTTTTCGTGATAAAATATCTATTAAGATGCTCTGTTTGAACTTTTGACAAGTTACTTCATATTTCTTTCCTGAAGCAAATAGCAATTCCTTGAGTTCTGTATAGACTTCGGACGAAGGGCGTACGCTTTCTGGTTAGTTCTGTATGTTGAAGATTCATGCCAGTTCACCGTATAGATCTTAAAGGGGAAATAAATATTATACTGATGCCGCATATAATCCAATTATATATGACATCTGTAAAGTAGCTCTTCAGAGATGTATCAGAAATAATACTTATTTTTTAATTCTGTTTGTTGAAATGAGTAACATCGGGGGCAAATATAAACACCTGTCACACGTTTTTAATGTCCACTCTCTTGATTACTAGAATAAAATATTTACAAAAATATGTACCCCTAGCCAATAAAAGTGTCATCGCTGTCGCCATGCATAAACTGAAACGTACAATCATATCATGGATCAATGGTCTTTATTCAACTTCTAAAATAATTTTTATCACAAAAATGTACTGATTGTGCAAATAGTGAATAAGCTAACCGTAGTAAAAAATCAAAGTCACATTTTAGTACTTTGTACAGTATCTTCTGGATTGGAGGACGCACGTTAGCCTACTGTTACGTTTTGCGCAGTGATGGTTCTCCACATACGGGAAGGGCAAAGATAGAACGAGATCATATTTGTTATCGGGGTCATGCCTCAGTTATCTATTTCGGATTATCCCACACATTTTTAATGAGGTGCTGATCTAGGGATTGAGTTGGTCATTGGGGTGCTTGGATCTGGTTCGCGTATATGTAAATCCAGGCTACAATTGCTTTGGCTGTACGTGGAGTAGCATTATCACGCCGAAACAAAAAAAATGGTCATGACCTCAAAGATATTCTCGACATAATTCCTTAAGTTCCTTTTTAGTTCAGTTTAGTGCATTATCAGAAATTCTGATGTTATGTCCATGTCCTATTTATAATGCTCTTACGTCTTGATTAAATGATACATGTTTTTTCCTCTGGGCGTACATGTGCCTACTAAGGATAGGCCTACTGTTTACATGTAGCCTAAAGATTGACGTAACTGCAAATGGTTACTTAAAAATACAATAGCGTTTTTGTGAGCACTTTCATCAACAGTCACAGTAAGAAAAATTGCAGTGCAGCTAGCTCTTTGTTTAATTTTTAATCTGTAACATGTATGTAATGCTCTATAAGATAAAGAGAATATACGTGTACAAACTAGCCCTTAGGTACCTCGGTGTTCTGATTCGTTGGTGAACTCTACAAACACAGCCAGGACATTTGTGGATGCTATAGACCCAGGCCAGTCCATAGTTTGACTCACCGAAAATACTGCACCATCATTCACCTTGTGGGAGACCGGACTGGGTAACAGGGTGATAAGGTGTGTAGTTATTTCACCAAAGGTAGAGCTCATATATTTAAACAAACGCTATTTTAATGGAAAAGGAATGTACAGCAGCTGAGGTTCGTTACCCTAGGTTCTAGATTTCGATATTGCCAGCTCGATCTTGTTTTCATATATATAACCACACCAGCAATACAGTGCTATACATGTACAATGACCTTACACTGAGGGTACTGTTCGTTTACACTATTTGTATTGTACCAGGTGACATACAAACATGTTGTAAATTTATATAATAGTAAAATTAGTACATTATGCAGGCCAGTAGCCAGCAATTTCAAAAGGGGGGTTCTTTTTCTGAAAAGTGGACCTTTTCCCATACAAACGTCATGTACCTACAGGTAGATCAAATTTTACCCAGAGTGGACCTTTTCCCAGCAAAAGGGGCGGTTCTTTCGAACCTTCCCCCCGAGCTCCCCTGGCTACGGGCCTGTTATGGCACTGTAAATATTGAATTTTTTTAGTATTGTGCATTCCATATGTGTGCGTTCCATATGTTCGGACCCTTTCTTATTCTATTTGATAAATCCAACCTACAGTAGAATTGGAGTTATTTCACTTCCAGGAAAATTTTTAATCTAACTGTAAATTTCAGACGTTTCCCTGATTTAAATTTTAACGCTAGCTCCTTTGTTTTTTAGTAGCAACAAAACAGTCGTTAAATCCACAACTTCTACGCAATGATATTTCGGCAGACAACAGTAGTTTAGAATGTGCATCATGGTTCTTTTCGTAATTTTTATTTCTATCTTTTTTATTTAGCATGTCTTCAATATTAATGGAACTCACGCCGTTCATTGGTGTAGACAGTGACGGGAAACTTTTCGTTCACGACGAAACAGCCGAGGCTCTACAACAGCACGGTAAACCTGTTGTGGTTATCGCTATTGTGGGCAATGCTCGTCGAGGGAAGTCGTACTTAATGAACCGAATGTTGGGCAGACAGTCGGGATTCCCACTCGGTTCTACCACCAATGCCACAACGAAGGGTACTTATATATTTTGAAGATATTTTAGTAAATTTGTATATTGACTGGCTGTTAAAGTCTCTCTCTCTCTCTCTCTCTCTCTCTCTCTCTGAATTATTTGCCTAAAAAATCGAACGTCGGCCACACACTTATTTAGGTATTTGGGCCTGGTTGACTGACCATCCCACCAGATCAAACGAACACCTGCTGTTACTGGACACTGAGGGTCTGTCCCATGCCACAGACGGCGACGAGAACCGGGACATTCAGATCTTTGTTCTGTCTGTTATCCTCAGCAGTACCCTGATCTACAACTGCCAGGGTGTCATAGATGAGAGCTGTTTAGAACTTCTAGAGTATCCTTTTTTAATGATAATTCTTTTTTCATCTGACTTCTCTATTTATTATAATTTATGGGGGGTTAAAAAGTAAAAAAAAAAAAATGATAATCTAACCTACAATGTAAAGGGCACTGGGGTAGTAAAATTGCTTTGTTGTCTCTTGTTAACTGCGATAACAGCAAGATTTATATAGAAATAATAAATCATGAAATTATGAATTAGTTTGAAAGTTTTGAAAGCTAACAGTTCATACAGCTTAGTATCTAGGCTCTCTGAGCATTTGGTCCTCTGAGTTGACGATGAGGGAAATGTTAGAAATATGGATCGGATTTTCCCTGCGCTGTATTTCGTAGTTACAGACTTCATGCTGGAATTGAAGATCGACGGACAGCCGTGTACCCCAACAACCTACTTGGAGCATTGCCTCAAAGAGAATGGAGGGCTCGCAGAGAAAACGCAGTTGCGGAACAATTTCCGTGACAAACTGAAATCCTACTTTCCAAACAGGTACTGCTTTCGTTGACTCTTCATCGTGTCTAATGTAAAACCCCTAGCCTGTTTCACCGGTCTTGCGACCACCTGTAGAACGAATTTTGCCGAGTCTCCCTTTTTCATCGTTTCTTACGCATTAAGGCTCGTAAAAAAGTTTATTGTTTCGAAAGAAACTGCATACTCGATGACATTCTAACTTCAGGGCCTAGAATAGGGGCTGTCCGGGATAGCCTATTTTGAACATCTGCGCAGCAGATGACGTCAAACGAGACCTGGATTGGAGCGAGATTTCACGAGATGTGGGGTTAAAATCTGCCATTGAAACTTCTCTTGCGGTCGAGCACAAGTCTATGTTATAGGATTGCATTGAGTAAAATTTGGCGTTGTCATGTAATTTGAGATAGAGCAACGCAATGGCGAATTGCTAATGCTGTGTCGTAGGGTGCATTGCAGTTAAAGTTAAGAGAGAAAACCAGGAAAATGTCCATGGATAACGGACACGACTGGCGAGAGAAGTGAAGTGAAGAAAGAGAAGTTGGGCTTGATTAGATTAAAAGGACTAAGTGCCGACATATTTAAAGTACAGATCAGGTCGCAGTATTTTGTAGAAAGAAAGGGACCAACTGCAGACAGCTCGCACCCGGCACGTCACTGTCTCCATGGCATCACCGTATAGACCGTATCATCAACGGTCGAGGGGCATATTAATAAGTAAGTTTACAGGACACCATGGTTTATTAATGTAATACAGCCCTAGTACTTGTGTTTAATAGTCTTTTACGGTAACTATATCAGACAAATTTGCTTGTACCATTCCTATCTCCATATAACGTGTACCTGATTATGAAATACTGGTGAACCTTCCACACCTATTAAGCATACACAATGTTCAGTTGCATTTGTAACATTCCATGCCGGGTGGTCAGTTATGATTATTGCAAGTAAGGTAGAAATTAGAGTTGGTATTTTACAACAACGTTTATCACATAATGATATATATTTCTGAAAACTAAGTGAGTTATTTTTTATTTATTTTAGAGCATGACAGACACAGCACAGCACAGCACATTGAACCAGGCATTATCAGATGTTGAAGATTGCTCAGTGTATATTAATCTCTTATGTCC